AAGAAGCTTTTTTTGTTTTTTTCAAGAGGAAGTGGCTTCAAAGACTTAATATCAGGATCTCGAGAAATTGAAATAAAGATAGGAAAAAAATATAATTGCAGGATAATAGGTTGATTGACTGGACTTTTTGAGACGCAGAAATTCAAGTCGTGGGGAGCATAGAATACTCGGGAATTCACGGTATTCGTGGGATTCGTGGGAATGCTAACAGAGACATTTTTCTCTTGCGCTGTTGAATAATACTTCAAACGGGGCTCGATTTCTTCAAAACACAATTTTTTCACTGCTGGAAATTTTGTAAGACTGAACCAAAGTCTATAAGAAGTATCAGCGAATAATGATTTTGAAAGTCGACGTGAAGGTGGTAAAAATTAGGCGGTCTGTAAGGGAACTAACGGTTTTTTTGAACAAAGTTTTGGCAAGAAAAAAATCAGGTTTTTTTGTCTAAATAAGTTGGCCAACTTTCCTTTTTATCATTTTTTTAAATTACAATTATGATTTATTAGTTTTGCGAAAATTTGCAAAAAAATCAAGCAGAAAAAAAGTTGCGACACAAACTAAGATCACCAAAACTTGTTATCATTTTTTTTGCAAATTATAAACTCCATGAACTTTCATTTTTTTCACCTGTCTCGACATTTACGCTAAATTGTTTGGAACTATCGTTGCTGAATGAGCCGTCAAAAATTGAGAACTGAAAGGCCTTTGAAAAGTTTTTCAGGTGCAAAGTTCAGAAATGTGGTACCTCTAGAATTTAGCTAGTTTTTTCAATGGTAAAATGTTATCTTTATCAAACCGAAAACTTGCGCGATACAAAGGAAAAACTTAAGTTTATCTATATTTCATAGTTCTGAAGAAAAACGAAAGAATTCTTGAAATTCTGAGAATGGACAAAAAAATTTTAAAAAAAATTATAGATTTTTTTATATCGTTTCATGCTTCATGAGGCAAGAAAAACGGAACAATTTGCAAGAAATTTTGCGTTGAGAGGTTTCGAACCTTGGTCTCGAATTTTATAGCGCGCCAGACTCACTGAACCAAGTAAACCAGTTTTTTTTCCCTGTCCGGCAGATGTATTCTAGTTAGTAATGCGAAACTTTAGTCACTATTATTTTTTGGAAACGTGAGAAAAGGAGCGAAACTGAAATTTGATGCTGTTAGTTTTGAAATGAAACTTTCGCAACGAGTATAATGATGATTGGGGTTCTAACGTACGTATAATTGAAAGCAAGCCTTCTTTTGTTTGAATATAAAGGTCACTTTATTATACGGCGCCAGACTTCATATTCATCTATTCCATTGTCAAGTTGAAAATAAAGAGAATAAAGAACGTGAAATTTCTTTTCAGAAAGCACACTTTCTCGCTGAAAAAAGTCTATTTTGAGCATAATAAAAGCGAGAAATGATGCTTCCAGTTCATGGATGCATAGGATAAAGAATTCGAATTCTATTTGTGGATTTTTGACCTTTCATGGAGTGGAAACCCCGGAAAATTTTGAAAAATGTTCAACCTTCCATCTTCACGTCTTTGAACTTTCTAAAAACGAAATAAATAGATATCCTTTTTAATTTTCAACAGAGCCTTTTTGAACGAATATTGTTGATTTCGACTGAGATTTTTAGCATGAACCTCTTATAAATTTAAAAGCACAACAACCACGTTTGAAAAGAAAGTTTAAAGTGTGTAAAACTACACACATTGCATAAAAAGAACTAAATTAAGCGCCTGCAAATGAAAATTTTAATTAACGAAGTGACTGAACTACAAATAATTGTGAAGGCCTACGGATGAAAAAAATGACAAAAAGAACATTGTTTCTTTTTTTCTTCCTGTGAGAAATGTAGTTTAGAGGAAAAATTGTAAGTGGAAACAAAAAACTACAGAAGTTCCCAGTTGCTTCTGTAGTTTTTTCAGCTACAAAAATTTTTTTTAAGGGTTGTCTAACAAATATTTCCCGTCTCTGATAATTAGAGTTTTGGATGAAACTTAAGAAATTATTTTTGTGGTTCTTGAAAAAAAACCAAAGCCTCTTAAAGGAAGTCGATTTTTTTTTGTTAGTAAAATCGGAATTTTCGGAGCTTGGAATGAATGCCAAAGATCGCCGCAGGCCAAAAAATGAATTCGGTGGCATTTACTCCCATTAATTTATGTGAGATCATGGGAAGATCGAAAAAAATGACAGCGAGTCCTAAAATGAGAGTTTTCTGTTCAGTTCTTATCCAAAAAACATCTTCTTCGAATGTGAAAAAATAATCTACCGCTGTTATTTCAAAAAAACTTTTCAGCAAGGCTTTCTTCGGAGTAATTGTTTTTGGATATATCATAGTTATACTTTTTGAATTCTTCTCGAAATTGTTCTCAAACACAAATAAAAACTACCGGAATTCGTGCTTTGCTGCCAGGCGACTTAAATCAAAACAAAGCCCTCATGTACGCTCTAAGGCAAATGTTGAACAAATCGAAAATACACAGCGGCTCAATAACACTTTTAGCTTCTGTCGGTCCGCTTTTTCAAGTGTTCTCCAAAGATTTGATCTTGTGAGAATTTGCTAAGCCGAGATTTCATCCCTCAGAGGGGAAAAAGTCACAAAAAATTGTTCAAAAACAAGGAAAACAGTGAGTAAAGCCGTTCAAAATGCCTATAAGTTGATAACGAGTATTGAATGAGTAAAAAAACAGTGAAGGGCCCTCATAATCTTATTATTTACTCTTGATAAAATTAACAACACAACAAAATAATCGATATGTGACAGAAATATTCAAAAATTAGGTGAAATTCAAAAAGTCAAAAGCTTTTTTTGACATTTTTGTATGCAAAAAAAGAGTCAAGTTTTTTTGGAGTATCAGAAAGTTCCAAAAATTGACAGAGGTTTTTGGAAAAAAATTTTTCTGGCTTCTCCATTTTTTTCGAGTTTATTTTTTTATTAATACAGTAAATTTGCGTTTTTTTGGATTGAAATATATATTCAAAGCGTAAAAAAATAATTTCTGACAGATTTCCAAAAACCAAAAAAACTTTGAGTATAATGACCCTTTGAGAACAATTTAAATGTTTAGAGGTTTGAAAAAAAAACGCGAAAAGTTTAATTTGAATTACAGAAAATCTTAAGAAATTTTGCTCACTCTTTCTTCCTTTCTCATACAAATTTTTCGATCAAGCGAAAATTTTGCTTGACATCACTTTTTCAACAAAACTTCCCTTTTCTAAATTTTATTTTCCCAGAACAAGATGAACAGAAAATTTAGTCAAAGAGGCTCCAACTTTACTACTTTGTGTTCCAAGTCAAGAAAAAAACAAAAGAAAATCAGCTTTAACTGAAGCGTTCCAGAGCAAATTTGACTTTTAAGTGTGAAACCTCGAGGGAGTTGGACAAATTGCTCGAATCGGGCCACCGCGTTGCATTAAACTGTCTGTTTTTGACTTTTCCGTTCCGTTGTTTATTGTTTGTCGGTTTTTTCGGACTGCTAGGAACCTCCATTAAAAGATACAATTCATGCAAAGAGAGGGAAATGTTCGTTAATGTTTGAGGATATCGCATAATTATAAATGTTCGCTTAGATGAAGGGAATGGAGAAAAGATGCTCCTTTGGTCATTGAAAAGTGCAGTAAACATTTATTCATTCCTGAAGTGATCTCTTAAGAGTTTGATGGTTTGCTTGATCTTTTGGTTTTCATGCAGGAGTTTCCTTTTTCAAAAACAGAAACTTTCGGAAGATCCCTGAAAAGCCATTTGGTCAGTTAAAATTCAGTAATCATTTATACAGTGTTTGAGTGATATCTAAAGGGTTTTATGGTCTATTTGGTATTTTGGTCTTTATTGAAAGTCCATGCCTCATTGAAAAATAAGAAGTATTCGAAAAATGTTTTCGTCATTAAAAAGTGTAGGTGAACTTTATTCGACAAGGCGTGATTTTTCAGATTGTGACAACCGTTTCTTTGAGTTAAATCTATGTGATCATACCAATAATTTTTTTTCTCTAGAAGAAAAAAATAGAAACAGGTCCTTTCTGGACATCGGATAGTGATGAAAAAGTATTTTTTTGAAGTGTAGTCTTTAAAAAAATTTAAGGTTTACTTTTCTGAATCTTCCGGTCTTCTCAGAATAAATTTTATATTTTATCGAGAAAGTTAGAGAGAAAAGAAAGAGAGAATAGAAAAAAATGCCCTAGCCATTAAAAATAAAGAATATTCCTATGAAAAATTTTTTTATTTTGAGAAGAAGAATTGTTTCCTTAACTTTTTCTTGTTAATCAAATTTCAAAAATCTCGCTGTGTTTCCAGTTTATCATTTTTTTTTCTACGCTTGTCTTTTTTCAGCTCTATCCTTTGCGTTTTTCGAAATGAACCCTCAAAACTATGGTTTATTGCAACTCGAAAAGCGCCAAGCAAAAGAAATTAAAGAACAAGAAAATTTTAGGCACAGATGTCGAATGAAAATTCGAAAATTTTCTTTCCAATCACCTGGAACAAAAAAAAATTACAAAGAAAAAATCAAAGTTCTCGACGGAAGATGTGCCAAAACGGAGAGCAAAAACTAATAAGATATTCTACTTTGCATGTGAGGGGAAGTTCATTAATGCAAAACTAGCTTTGAGACAAAAAACATTCGAGCCAAAAAAAAGCTTCTTCCGTTTCTTATGTGAGAAAAAATCGGACAAAAAAAAGGACTTTTTAAGAAAAAAATATGGTCACAAAAAAATTGTCTGAGATGCACTTCGGAATACTCTGAAATTGAAAAAGGTTCTTATTTCACTTTGTATTCTAGTTTTGGAGCTCTTTCTCTTCATGTTGAAAAAAATTTAATATATTGACATTTTTAAGCGCCAAAAAGCGGAAAAAATATACTTTCTGTGATTACAAGAGTAATTTTGAAGCACATTCCAGTCAAATTTCGAAAAGATGAGCGTTGTTTATTCTTAGTTTCCTTTCGAGTAGATTTCGATGCAATTTTGGATTTTATTGAAGAAAAGAAGTGGGCGAACTATATTGCAGTTGATGTCAATCGTGGAACCCTTCACATTCGTTGCACCAGTTGGCATCGTCGTCATCGTCATCGTCCGAATCCGTGTCCCAGTCGCTTTCCGAGGAACTTTCGAACTCGATCACCGATCCAGCGCGGCCATGAGCTGAGAAAAAAAAGTTACTTTGAATAATTGTTATATTTTGTCATCAGCTCTTGAAAAGGTGGATTGAAAGAGCAAGTTTGGAAAGAGTTTTTGAAATGTTTGGCCTGGCTAGGTATTCAAAATTCTTATCAAATGCATAATACAGAAAAGAGAGTTGGAGCTGTACTATACAGGATGTTTAATTATTATTGAAAAGGGAAAACGAAATATATTTTCTGAGAAAAACTCAGTGCTATTAGAAAGTTTTTTATAAAGAAAACTTGATATTTTCATTTTTTGTCGACTTTTGACGAAAATTCATTGAAGCACTTTTTTCTGGCGAAAAAAAACTCACGGTCGCACTCGTCACACTTGCGTTTTTCCTTGTGACAGTCGAGGCAGAGCATCGAACCTCTGCATTTCGTGCAATAGAACAGAGAGTCTGGAAAAGAATTCCGCAACTTTGAAGAAATACATTTCACTTTAATTTGTGAGAAATATGTTTATTGAAAGATTGCCCCAAAAGTTTCAAAACTTAAAACTCTTCTATTTGAAACATACGTGCGAAGAAAAATCAGAGACATAAGAAAATTTTCTTTTGAAGAAAATATTCAAGAGACGTTAATAAAATCCGAAAAAGGTTTCTTGTTGAATGAGTATAAAATCTGAGGTTGAAGCGCTATGAAATGATGAAAAAAACTAACTACACCGACGGCGGCAACAACGACAGAGCTTTTTGTTGGCCATCACAGCAGGTTTCAGAAAGAAAGCAGAATGAAGAATAAAGACAGTTCGAACGGCAGTCGCCCACACAAGACGTCAAGATTCCCACGTCAAATCACTTTTCCTTCGTTTTTTTGTCCGTTTCGAAAGATACAAACAACACTTGCAACTGTAATAGGTTAGATGGGAACGTTTAGAGAAATGTTGAAAAGTGCGAGAAAATGGCAGCTGGCTTGCAGGAACCAAAAAAAAGACTGTCTAGTGAGCGACGAAAGTGGACGAGTGTGACATTTGGATGTATACACGGGATTTGGGTGATTCAGGAGAGCGAGCAATAACTGATTGAAAATATTAAATCTTTCTCTTCGAGTGTCTGCTGAAGGTGAACTAATGGACTTTGACTTTTCACGTGGAGCTTTACGATTAAACTACAGTTTTTGATGAAATTTTGCAGAAAAAAAGTAATTCTGGTGTGCTTGAAACATTCTACAACTTCCCTCGAAAACTTTTAGTCCTACACCTGTTTAGTTTTTAACGCAAAATTCATAAATTTAGCAAAAGTTGAAGACTCATAAAAATTTTTTTATGCTCCTCCGTCTACTTTACTAGGCTTCTATCGAGTTTTTAAAAAAAATTAGTTGATCACCGAATTTGAAAAAATCGGAACGTTTTAAAGTTTAGTGCTCACTTCTTCACACACACCATTTTGGTTTCGGTTTCCGATATAGTTAATTTTTTTATTGAAACCCTGACCTTCGTAAAAAAACTTTTTTTAATAGAAAAAAAGTCGATGTCAAAAACTAAAGGTTTGAACTAGACGAAGAAGGTAAAATGAATAAAATAAATTTTTTCACCCTGTGAGGTCTCTTTTCTATTTTGAAACAGCAATATAGTAAATCAAGTATTTCGTTGTTCTGAATGGAAGGCAGACTTTGACGTAAAGGTGCGAAATCCCAAATGGGAAAAGGAAAATTTTTCGTACTGATACACTAAATTATCCAATCTGCGGAGCTTGGGGCAATTAGTCGAAAGCGGAAGATAAGTAAATTAGTTGGTGACCAAGTTTTAGAGCTCACGGCTCGAAATACTTAAAAAGTACAGTTGAACCACGAACAAGATTGGCTGGATCTGAAAAAAGACAGCGTCTGCAAGGAGTGAAAATCCTTAAGTTTTCTTTTAAACTTTGTCCATCCAAACTTTGACTGTCTCACAAAGGAATTGACGTGGAAAGTAGTAAGAAAAGATTCTTTTAACTGAATTATGGAAGAGTTCGGAGTATAGCGTTACTGGAAAAGATGTATCACTTCCACTCACAAGAAGTAGGCAACTATTGCTCCACTTTTCACGTATTCATCAGTTTGAAGGGGGTTTGGAAATTTTCCATCCTGAATCTCTTTTGAAAAAAAAATACCCATGTGGGAAAAGAAGTGTAGAAAGTCCAAATAGCGGCTCAGGGTCCGGCTCTCAAGCCCTTCAAGCTCAAATGGTCCTTATAGGGTTTTTTAAATTCAGTTTAGACTTAAAAAGTGAATGACAAACTCCATCAATTCATTCACTGTTAATATTTTGCATTCAAATAACCCCAAATTTATCAAGTATAGAGAGGTTAAGGGGAAAAACCCCTACCTGACTCCCCTGTTACTTCTTTTTGAGTTCATAACAATCTTCTAGTAGTATACATCTCACAGGGGCCGATTTCACAAGCTTGATCGGCTTCTGTAGGGAAGGTAAAGTGGTCCCTTGAGCCTTTAATGGCTCCTCGCAAGCTCGAAGTTAGCTAGGAATATTAGGTACGCGGAAAATACGGTGTTTCTGAAATTGTATCAAGACGGTCGCAGCACCTCTTTCATCTCCAAACAACTTGGCGTTGGCCCATCGTTACTACCGAACGTTCCAAAGAGCTTGGCACAACGAAAGGCCGCCCATGAAAAAGACGACAGACCATTGCTACATCTGCAGTAAATATAAAAAGGTCCACGACTTCATCAGTCAAAATCCAAGAAGTTATAGTCGTTATGTTTGCTTATCCAACCCTGTATAGTCAATTTTTCACAACTTGAAAAGCGAGGGAGGCGGGACGCGTAGCGTGTGCGCAGGCGGTTCTTAGCACGAGCTGAATTCAGCCGGCAGCGTCTATTTGAAAAGCCAGTTTTTCGCTCTTTTTCATTCCTTTTTTTAATTATTTATTGATTATGCTCATGTGTCCATCAAAAAATAAAAGAGCATATAGAAAAAAAAAGTTGACGAGCTTTTTAAATTGTCGGCGGCGATCGGATTGAACTGGCGCCAAGAACCGCGAACGCAAACGCTACGCACTGTGCCCCCTGCCCCGCTTCCCTCGCCTTTCAAGTCGGTAAAAATTGACTATGGATCCAGTGAAACTGTGATAAAAAAGGTTTATTCTCCTGTAAATTTGACCCCACAAAATGCATGTCGTCGTGTATTTCGAAATTGCCGTGTTTGCGGTGGAATTATTTTTCGCACCAAAATCTCCGCCGAAAATCTCACTCCTTTTTTGAACTGAAAATAAAAATTTCATCGCCAGTCGAGAAAGTATTTGACGCAGATCCCATCAAAACGAAAAAACGCAGCCAAATTCACGGCGACATCCGTGCTTTGAAACGGTGACTTGATAGGGAAAAAAGGTCTCCGATATCTTTTTTGTCCTTCTGAATTCTCAAAGATTTTAGAGAGAGGTCGGAATAATGTTTGAAGATGCAAAATTTTAGCAGACCATAAAATTTTTTCAATCTCTTTGCTGTGACTTCAGGGTCACTACGTGTTTAGTTCAACTTATAAAAATCCTTCATTTCCAATATCTGTGATTGGAAAAACTCCATCATCCATGAGATTTGAGAGAAAAAACTTCAAAAAGAAAAAATCGAATCAATCAGCTATTATATGAAACGATTAATCGTTGATGAAAGATCGATGCTCTCAACTTCTTTGAGAAGTTTTTCAATTTTATATCAAAGCTAACCACATTTTGTGACTGATTTCTCAAAGCCTATTGTTTCTCGATCGCTTTGTATCAAATCTGTGTTTTTTGTGAAAAAATTGAGACTCCTCGTGATTTGGGATGATTCAGCCATGGAAAGGGCAGCGCGCCGATGAATGTCGCCACACTTATTGTTCCATCAATCGGAGAGTTTTGCAAGTTTTCCCGCATAATTTTGCAATCTTCGCGAGTTTTCTGTTAAAAAAAGTTTTTAATCTTTTTTTTGTGCAGAACGTTCTACTCGTTGAGTCTCTATTCTTTTTTTCTTCAACTTTGTGTTTTTTTTTCCGTTGTGGAGTTAAACTGAACACGTCAAGAAGACTGTAGCTGAAATTTCTGAGAACAAAAATGTATATATTTTGTAAATTTTCAGTGAAAATTTGGCATTCTCGGTAAAGATACTGCTGCCTTTTTCATATTGGACAAGTTTTCTTCGTTTGTCGTTCTGTACTCAAACAAGTAGAATCTTATTTCCAATTTTTTGAATACCAAGTAATACAAATCTCCTTACGTTTTGAAATCCGAGGTCCAATTTTGGGACCGCGAAGAGACTTCTTGTGAAATCTATGTGAGAAAAAAATAGTATCTTCACTATTTTTCGTTACTGTAACTCTCGAAAATGGACTTTAAAAGCAGCGTGGAAGTTGAAACACTGCTCAACATGCCTCGAAACACGGAATCGCATTGCGAAATCTGCGAAAAGGTCACTGGCGATGACCTCAGTGCCGGTCAGGTGCAGCCGAAAAGCTGTCGCCGGCTACAGATGGCCGGGGTCTTCCCACGACAATTTAGCGCAGTCGTCGGGTAAAAAAGGTCGGAGAGATTTGCACCTGGGAGGCACGTGTCAGGTACCAACTAGACGAGAAAAAAAAATCCGCCGCCTCAGGATGGCCGCTTTCACTTGTCCGTGTACGGTTTTTCGACCATCCTCATTTCACTCCGACAATTTCGATCCTGGTTTCTCTTTTGCTCTGCATTCCATTGATGCCTTGTTCTCTGTTTTGTCTAGAGTTTAAAATGTCAAACTGAAGTGTTTGAAATAGTTTCTGATTTTGAAATTGAGAAAAGGCTTATTAATCAACGTCTGAAATAATTTTCACCGTCTTGAAGTGCAAATTTTTCCAAAAACTTCAGTTTGAACCTTTCGCTTAAAAACCGATAAAAATCTCTCTTTATGCAGTTTCTTAAGCAGTCCGCGCTGCATCACTCGAGAAAGCCCTGACCAGCTTCCAAAATTCTCACTAGGAAACGTTTTTTACCCCCCGGTTGAACTTCTGCTGAAACTTCGTAGAAGTGTACTTTAGGATCCCTGATTCCAGAACAGAAAGAAAATTTTTCGAAATAGATCTCGTTTTCGAGTTAGGACACTTTAAAAACCCGAAATAGCGCTTTTTTTCTGCATTTGCGTGTTTTGCCCACTTTGAAGCTCCATAACTTGGAAAAAAGATCTATTGAGAGAAATTATTTTTTTGTTTTGGAATCAGGGGGTCCTAAAGTACACTACACTTCAGCAAAGTTTCAGCATAAGTTCAACCGGGGGGTAAAAAACGTCCCCCGGTCAGATTATTCCAGCGGATATCTTACAAAAAACCTGATAGGAGAAGTTTCATCCTGAAGAAACAAAAAAAGCAGTTTTATCGGAGTATTAGGCTTAAATATTTTTTTATTAAAGCCCATTAGGGTTCAAAAATTTTTCATGAAAAAAAAAAATGCTCCCCACCAACTTTTGCTACATATTTGGACGCCGACTATCAGATCAAAAATTAGAAAAAAATCTGGTCATGCTTCCATCGCAAAAAACTCCCTATCCAAAAGAAAAAAATAATAATTGGAGCGACCAAAATGAACCTTTCATGTCCTTTTCTAACAAATTTTCGAATCTCGAACATTTTTGCAATGATAATCCATTGAAAAGAAAGCCTGGAAGCAGAATATTCCATTAAAGTCGCAACTAGGATCCCGCCTCATTTCGTTTTCCAGACAGAAGGTCGGCTTTTACTCGTTTCGTGAATTAGTTCAAGGTCGCTTTCCATTTTTCAAATCCTCTATTCTGGGCAATCGGACACCCGTGCGAAACCGTGTGCGCCACTTCCTTTCGTCCGCGTTCTGCATTCACAATTAGGGCCTCCCGACCTCCTGATTCGACGTCTTTTCATCCTCGGCCACCTTGGCTGCTTTCTCTCTCGTGTATTCATTAATTTTCAAAAAAGCCATGTGACTAAAGTCAGCTTCCTGGTGCGGTGTATACACAACAGCTTTCTGATTTTTTTTGTGAGCTCAAACTGACTTAACGCTTGAGAGTTCTCTTTTTTAGGTATCAAAATTAGGCTTATGAGATTCCAAGGACCTGCAGTGAATTGATGTGTTTCAATAACATTTTCCAAAAACTTTTATCATTGGTTCAAATTCAATACTTTCGGTATACTGTAATCGCCCAAATTTCAGTCAATTCTTCGCTTTTTTCGATCTGAAAAGTTATTTTCGATTCTTCGATTTGACGCCTTTTCATCCTCAGCTACCCTGACTGCTTTCTCGTTTTTTCATTAGCTGTCGAAAATTCCATGCGACCATTGTTTGCTTCCTTGTGTACCGAAAATCCAACAGCTTTCTGATTTTTTCAAGCTCTAGCTGACTTAACGCATCAAAACATCAAAATCCTTTCTTAAGATTTTTGTTTAGCCTGTGATCTTCCAAAAATAATCAATGTAGTGATGTAAATTAAGTAAATTTTTGATGATGTCTATCAGCTGCTTCAACCCAATATCTGACACGCCGGTGTACTGTAATCGACAAAATTCAGTCAAATTTTCTGTCGTGAACTTTTCTTTTCAGAATCCTTGATTGGAGGTATTTCCATGAATTTTTGAGAATTCGTTTCTGCGAAAATCAAAATTTTTCAGACATCATTCTCTAAAGTAAATAACTAAAAAGCATTTCATTTCGGGCCGCTACTGAATGTTACGACGAACCAAACTACCACCTAAAAAGGAATTAACTTTATTGAAGTCTCAAAACTTACAACAGGAGTTATATCTTTGAACTCAAAGAATGTTTTGAAGTTGACCGGAAAGTACTGGACCGAGGTTTTGAAAGCTGCAAGCAGTGACGTCCTGAAAATTTCTATTATTCTCCCGTTTATCAGCCGCCAAATCAGTGAATGAGTGTTTTCTAAGCTTTTCTTCAGTTCAAATCATCAAAAAACCGAAAGAAAAAACTTCGAAAAAATGGAATCCTTAAAAGCTTCCGATTTGTACTTAGACAGCGAGTAAAAGCCAGACTGCCAAGGTTCAAAATTGAGAGAAAACTTGCACCGATTTCAAGGTCTGACCCACAAAGTCACCTCGCTCACCCAATTTCCATTGCGGAAGGCCTTCTCGGCGATATCCCACTCAATCTTAGGCCACCATGTTTCAGCCGTTATTGTCGACTGAATTAAAATCATCTTCCACTCGGATCTCTCCCCATTTGTCGCGCTGCTTTTCTCGCAAAATTTTTGTTATCTGAAACCCGCTGATCCGTTTGCAATCCGACCCCGAACCGTTGCACTTTTCCGCCGTCGGCCACGCCAACTTCTACCACCGACACGGCCTTTGACGCTCTAATTTTACAAGCAAATCCACTCGACCTCCCACTGTCTCGTATAAAATCAGATACCTGCGTTTTTTTTTCTTCTCTCCAGGCAGCTTCCATTCTCAAAATGTTAGTTCAAATCTGCTTAAGAGTCTCATTTTTGGTCATGTTTCCTTATGAATCCGCGACTCGTTAGCTTGAAGAATTATCCTATGAATACTTTCTTTTCTACTAAAGACAGGTCTTTTTTTTCTGTTGATGCTACTGGAGATATCAAATCAAAACTTTTCTTTTTTTCCTTTTGAAAGATTAATTTATTAGGTTTAATTTGTTTTTCTGTCAGCTGAAAATCGAAACTTTCAATCTAAAGCATTGAGAAAGACTTTTCCTTACCGCAAAATTTTCTGTAAGGCTTCCTTTTTTGCCATCTTATCAAATTCTCTTGGGTCCTAATTTACTCTTTATCTATGATTTCAAGTTTTAGCTTTTTTTGTGGAACGATTTAGTCATTTGCTGGAGTCGCATAATTTTTTTTTCTATTTTTCTCTCCTTCGGCTTTTCATGAGATTTCAGTAAAACCTTTTTTGATGACGATTTCTAAATAATCGACCTTCTTTTTTATCATTTTTCTTAGAAGTAACTTTTTTTCAACCGCTTTCTCTTTGATTAACATGAAATTTGAAGGAGAGAAGCGTTTTTCCGTTTGAGATGAAGCTAATTAAATACATATTCTCCTCGACTTCTTCTCTCAATATCATATTTTGATTGGAAGCATATTCTTTCCTTTCATTAGGAACTATTCAACAGAAAATAACATCTTTTTCAATTTTATGTAAAAAAGAATACGCACTCGCTTTCCTTTTCTTGGAAATCTTGTCCCAAAGCTTTTTCTTCATTATGGAACGCTCTATTTAAAATGGCTAGCTGTGCATTTTTTAACATTCTTTAGTTTTGGTTCGCTTCCGAATTTATATACTTTTCGACATGTGTAATCTTGTTCCTTCTGTTTCGTTGTCAGCCTTAACTTTTTATTTTCATCAAGAAATTTGAGGAGATGTCTAATGAACAAGTGGACACAAGTGAGACACCCTCAAGCACGGTAATCTTTGCTCCGCAGCCGATCCGTCCGGATGCAATGAACTACGCCTTATTGCAGGTGACTTTGAAATGTTCACGGTTCGGGCATAATCCGTTCACTTCAAAAAAAAAAAGAAGCTTCTACCGTAATATTTTAATCTCTGAAAATGTTGGGCATTTTATATGAAAAAAAATTTTTTTCTGAATCTTAAGTTTCTGTTTTTTTAACATGCGAGCGATCTATCCGATATTCAGGCCTATCTGTCCTCTTTGGATCAGCTCTCGGTGATCAACGCTTTGCCGCAGATGAATCTACTTCAATTTGCGACTTTGGCCAATTTCACTTCCACTCCTACGATAACGTGAGTTTCATAGATATATTTCCAGAATGAGTAATCTTTGGGAAATTCTCAATATTTAGGAGCTAAGTCTTTTCTCAAATACAGTTTGAAGCTCCTTCATTTGCTTTTTCCAAAGTTTCGAATCGTTTTGAAAAAAATTCAGAAGGTTTGAGCTTGAGATAGAGTCAAGAGAGTCTTCAAACCATCAAAAATTATGTCTAAAATGCAAAAACTACCTGTAAACTTTATTTGAGTCCTAAGACCAGGTTTAGTTGATTTAGGCGAAGTTTTGAAAATAGCTTTCCGAACCTAAGTTTTCAAGCTCACTAAAAAACTCACTCAATCAAATTACCCGATAAATATCCACTACTTTCTAGTGACAGCCGTCCGACTTCAGTCGGTTTCTCGGAAGAGGAAGCCGGCCAACAAATCGGTTTTCATAGAATACCAGTCATCAGGCGGGTCTCCAAACAAGTAAGCTGTTTTTTCACATGATTTATGAAAAAGTTGTGCGGCAATTGCAGCCAATTCTGGAGGATGATTCCAGTCCGGATTGCGCGATTTGTAATGACAAGTCCACTGGCCTCCATTATGGCATTTTCACTTGCGAGGGGTTGGTTTTTGAATTTTTTTTTTGAGAAATTCGAACAAAAATTGCTTTTTTTCTTTTCACTTGAAGGTAGTTTAGTAGGAAATAAAAAATTTGTGAGACAAAGCTCAGCGTTCTCGAATGGTCCGTTTGATACGAATAATTTCAAATTTTCGTCTAATTTTGACTGCATTTACTCTCCACTTTTGTATCATCATAAAAAGGGCTTTTTTTATCGTTTTTAGTAGAAACTTAAAACTCTTTTCAACAGACTTTAAAAACGACTCGAATCTTAATTTCTCTTACTTTCCATTTGGGTTTTGATTAACTTCATTCGAGCCAAGTTCCTATACCGTTATCTTCTCGAATCACTAGCCAAAGATCTGAATTTCTATTTTTTCTTTGAACTCGCATTCTTTCGGCCTTTTTTTTCTCAAATCGCAACCGTTCATCGCAACGATAGCAGCGGAGAAAAAAGGCTGGCGGCGTCCCAAGGACTACCTTCTTCGGCCTTTTTTTCTTGCAACGAAAAAAGAAGACGAATAAAAAAGAAGCCGGACACAAGAGGCATTATCGATGACAGGCGGAGGTCGAGGCCGCGGTCTGACGAGAAAGTGAAACGCGTGGAGGTCCGGACCACGAATCCAAAGTGGTCAAGGTTCCCAGCACGAACTCGCGCCCTACGGCGATTTCGAACCGCCGCCGCCACGGCTGACCCTGAAAATGTTGCTTCAGTAACCCATTGACACTATTAACCTGTCTCTCGGCGATATCTCTTCGTGACCTTTTGCACTTCGACGTCGACGCGCCTGAGGACAATTTTGTTTAGCGTCCTTGGAACGGCGTCGCTTTTTTCGTCTCGGGGTTTCGAAACAATGAAGTGAACTTGAGTGAAGAAAAATGATTCCATTGATGAGAATTCTCAGTTTGAATGGAAAAATGTCTTCGCAGGACGGAACCTTTTTTGTGAGTAAAAAGTTTTACATTCAGAACGATTTTTTCGAACAAAAAATAGACACAGTAGAATTGAAAAAAAGCTCAAGTAACCCCTTTTCCAAGGATAGGAAATTTGTTCCTCATATTCTTGAAAACACGCCCAGACTCATTTTTCTAATTTCGGACTACTAAAAAAACGGCAGAACTTTTTTTGAAAAAAATTTCTCCAATTTTGTTATCAAAAAAATTTCGATTCATACAAAAATTAATAAAACTTGGAAAAAAATTTTTTTCAAAAAGCGACAAGGAAAAACATTTCTACGAGCCCTCAAGCTCAAAAATCTTTTTACTCATTTGAAAAAAATTTTTAGCTTTTTTTCCTCTTTTTTTACCTAATGAAGGAAAATTGAATCGACTATTTTCTCAAAATACTCTTTCTACTGCAACCTTTTCCTGGGGAATAAAACCAAAGACCATCTTCACGATAACTATCGAACCAACCAATAATGCAACGTTTTTGTTGTCTTTTTGTTGGTTTGGTGCCAAGAAATTGACTGGTTTGGGAAAAAAAGAATGATTGCCATTGAATTGCATTGATACGACCTTGTGACAAAAGTACTTGGAAAGTTGCCTTGACTCATTCGTCAAACTTTTTTTCTCCTCCTGTCTGGTACCAGTTGTTCTTTGATTACAGTTGGAAAAGCTGGACTGATGTTGGAGAAAACTCGGAAAATCATGTGAAAGCTCTCTAGAAATGGCCGTTGTTAAATTTCTGAGCTCTATTTGCTCAGTTGCTTTTTTTTCGAAAAAGAAAGATCAATTGAAAAAATAGGAAGTTTCATCTGTTTCCTTATTTTCGAGACACCAGCAAACTTCTCAAATCGTTGATAGATGAAAAGTTGATAGTAAAATTTTTTCAAATATTTATGTCTTTCTCTTCGCCCATTTACTAGTTGTCGAAACATGCTCCAACGCAATTTTTGTTTCGAGATTCATTGAAATGAGTTTTGACGCCGATCAGTTCGAAGAGAATATTAGTGTATTCTTTTTCAATTTCGCTCTTTTAAATTTCGGTTTAAGGAAGATCGATTCACTCAAACTTCTGAGATTTTCAGAATAATTTCTCGAATATTGTCAGAAGACTGGATAAGGATTGATTTTGCAGCTTCTCTTTGATGAGTAGAACTTCATTCGTTGAAGAAAGTATGGAACGTTCATAGAAAGACTCAACTTCTCCATCCTGACCTTTTTTGTATACAACCAACAAAATCGCTCTCAAGCACTTTATTGCGAAAGTGCAAACTTCATTGTAAATGTACACGCAGACGCATTGCTCCACTTTGGAAATGAGTTCAAAATTGAGCGATTCTGACCTCGAATAGTGCAGAAAAAAGGCAAAAAAAGGCAGGTAAAAGGTGGAGACGAATGCTGGTTGTGCAGTCACCGCGAGACAGAGGCGTTGTGCCGCGCGGTAAAAGGACGCGAAGGTCGGTTCAGTCGGTGCCACCTGTGGGCAACAGACCTAACCTCGACCCCCAGCCTCCTTCCAACCTCCATCGTTCCCACCAACGTCTTCCTCCATTCAGTCGTCAGTCGGCTACTTCTTTCATCTCGCTCCGTTTCTGGCCTTTTCGAATTTTCGAAAAGTTCAATTTTTCGTTCGGTTTCTGAGCTTTAGGTCATGATGATTCAAGCCTTCAGAAATCATAGAAAGACTCAAAAACAGTCTCATATCGGTTTTTTTTTGACGAAAAGGCATAAATACTAAAAAGTCAAACTTTCCGTCAGCACTTTTAAGCGGACTCTTGTCTGTCACACAAACATTTGTGAGACTTTTTTCAAATCCAGCATGTATCTTTCATCAAAAATTTCTTTAAAAAAGAAAAATTATCTGAATTTTCATATCAAATACGATATTGAAGCATTTTAAAAGGTGCAGTCACTATGGTTCTACGCGTGATTCGTTTTTGCTTAAAGGTGACTTGACTCAGTTTTCCTATGAAAAAAAAAAAAACGCTTTTTAATTCGACGAAAATCTCGAGTAGAACTCCGAAATCAAAACAGAATCACCTTTAATAACAAGTTCAGTAATAAGAAAATCTTCGCAGCGGTTCTATCTTTTAATCACGAGTTTCCGACTACTCATTATCTTTCAATCTCCTTAGATATTATTCTGTTCAAAAGCGCAACGCGTGGTTATATATATATTTTTCTCTTCCATTTTTTGCTTTGGTTGACTTGGCAACTCGGAGTGCTTATCGACGACAAAATAATGTGCTTAACAAGGCGCCGCGGCTCCCATCTTGCCTCTCATCTCCCGCCCCGAAATATCACTTCGCTCCACTTTGAAATATGTCCACCTCATCTTCAGATTTCAAGCCTTACCCCAAAAAGTCACCAGTTATTAACTGTTTCTGCACGGAGAGAAGGTAGTTTTAGTGTTGTGTGTGCAGACGAAACAAATTGCAAGGTTACGAGAAATTTGAGACAAAAGCGATTTTTTGAGCTCAATTCACGTGGAAACCCAAAAACAGCTTGAAAAAGTTAAAATTTTGTATGAAAGTTTTACATCCTGAAAAATAATGAAAAGAATTTGAATTTTTTTAAAAAAACTCCACACAAAACTATCTTATAAAAAAACAATAAAGGTTTTTTTATTATGTTCAGCTCAAAAAGTTCAACCTTTTTCAATAAATAAAAAAATTCTTTCTGTCTCAAAAAAACATGAGTTCACAAAAAAATTGTAGCTCATAATTTCAGATTGAAGAAATAAGATCAAATTACTAAAAAGTCCACCGTTCAAAAATGAACGAAAATTTGGAACCCTAGATTTTCAACGAACAATAAAAAAATTCCGAACGGAAATTTTAGAATTTTTTTAAAAAAATCTTGACAAGTTTTCCATTAGAGGCTTATTTTCCAAAAAACTCTCGAGAGGACATTTTGTGGCCTTTTTCAACTTTAAGAAAAAAGGAACAGAAAAAAATGTCTAAAAACTGAAATTTTCAAATTTCGTCGGCCAAATGTCCTTTGCGCAAATGGAACGCGGCATTGACCTGGAACATTTGTCAGCGGTGTGGTCTCAAGGCGAAATCCGTCTCAATGGCCTTTTTTTGTCACTACTATTGCGTAATGGAAATGAGCTTAATGGTGCCGCGGCGTGTGCGGTGGGGCGACCTTGACTTTCATCCAGATGTGCAGATGTCATTTCGATCTCGTGGCTCAATTGTTGCCATCTGCATCTGTGACCAATTACAACTAGCCATCATTTTTTGAGCTACCTTCTTTCAAAAAGTCGGGGAGAAAATAGGTATTACCAAGCTTTTTTTTTAGTTTTTTAGACCAAAGGGGTTCATTTTTTTAAACTAGATTTTACTAAAACAAGAGAATTCCTCCCTATCATTCAAGAAAAAAAAAGAATTTGGAAGCCAACTTTTCAGTTTTTCAAAACCTTTCGTCGTTCTCATCAGCGAAAAAGCATTCTGTTAAACCAGGAAAGCTCAAAATTATCTTCTTAAAAGAGTTCAGCTTAAAGTTTTTTGGCGAAAACGCGGTTTTTGTTCATGTCAAGCTTTGTGTGAGCCAAATCCCGCTTTGAGCTCCTGAAAATTCTCGAAAAGGAAAAAAGCTAAAGGATCGAGAATGAAGTTTGATCTCAAAAATCAAGAAGCTGTTAGCAATGAAAATTTTTTTTTTTAACATCTCTAGAAATTCTGAATCTCGAGGCGGAATTTGGAATGGCTAACCGAACTGGTTACTAATTTTGAGTTTGAATGAAAAATTTTTATTTGAATGTTTTTTTAAATAATCATGCAATGAATCTCACAAATGAGTTTTTTCATTGGCTACTAGTAAGCCAAAAATTGTGAGAGCTGAGCGAGTAAAAATCAATAAAAGTTGTAATTTCCCTTGTACTCTAATGAGCTAAACATCATTCGGATATTTGACTCCAAAAATGTCTGGAAAAACCTTTCTTTCTTTACGACCATTTGTTTCACAAAAATGAGGTCAATTCAATCAACAAAAGTTGTAATTTTTCAGCTGCAAGGGCTTTTTCAAGCGAACGGTGCAGAACAAACGCGTCTACCGTTGCGCCTTCCAAAACGGCGAGTGCACAATTGATAAGCAACACCGAAACAGGTATTGTCAAAGTTTTGCCAAAAAAGGAAAAAGAAAAAGAAAAAGAAAAAAAGGAAAAAGTTTTGTTGACCTCCGCGCGTGGCAAAAATTCTTGCCCCCGCCGTCACTGACTGTCGCGACTCGTTTCTTTTTCATTTTCATTTTCATTTTCACTCAACTTCTTCTCATGATCGTTTCTTTCAGGTGCCAGTACTGCCGTTTCCAAAAGTGTCTTCGAGAGGGAATGGTCTTAGAAGGTTCGTTCAACTTTTTTTCGAAAGGTTTTGCTGGAGCATACTAATTTTCTTATTTTTTCAAGAAAATGTACGTTTTTTTTAAACATTTTCTGAGTCTGGCTAAAATATTCTGATTTTGTATACCCACGAAAGTTCCTAAACAAAATAAATCAACTGGAAATATGAGAAAAAAAATAATATTATTTTTAGCCGTTCGTGAAGACCGTATGCCAGGAGGACGCAACGGATCTGCAATTTACAATATTTACAAGGTAATTCAGAAAAAAATCAAATCAATTTTTTTTGCATCAGACAGCAGGAAATTATTAAATTCTTTTAAAAATATATTTATATTAAACTTAGACTTAAAACAAGAAAAAAATATTAATTTTGGAAACGATTCAGAAGGAAGTTTTTTTTAATTTTTTTTTGTCAAACTTCTGATTTTTGAAGACTTGAAGTTGTCTTTCCAGCATAAGTTGTATGTTTTCAGTTAGCTCCATTCTTCGAGAAAAAAAATGGAGAGGCGTGAAAAGATAAAGTTTTGAATTGACAATTTTCTCTTTCAAATACAATTCTGCTGACAAAAGGATATTTTCGAAAAGTAGAAAAAAGTTCTTGATTGAGCTTTAAAAAAGCCATAGAGTTTTATGAAATTATCTTTTCCAGGATCGCCGAACGCGTCGCCAAGAACAGCCGACCGAAGAAGTCCAGCGTTCGATTCCTCACGGCGGGAACGTCATCCAAGTACGTCTTCTCCTTTTTTTTTCAATAGTTTCACTTGGGGTGGGGTGAAGAAGAAAAAGAAACAGAAGACACCACGTTGGCCCCATTTTTCACTTCTCGCAACACTTCTTCTCGTTTACAGGAGCTGATTGAAATGGACTGTCTTGATCGATTGATCAATCTGAAGGGCTTGAGAATCACTCCCTCGGCTAACTGCGAGATTACTCCGGCTTGTAGTCGACTCACAAGAATCGGTATGGTTTAACGAAAATTCATTGACAATAATGAAAGTTTTTCAGGAGACGAAATCGTTGAACAGCTTGTGGAGTGGACCAAGACTTTGCCCTTTTTCGAAGAACTTCCAGTCGAGGCTCACACTCATCTTTTGACTCAGAGATGGGCAGAACTTGTGAGTTTTCTATACTCGAAAGAAAATGCCGATTTACTTTTGCGCAAGGAATTCTTCCTGTATAAAAGGGACAAGAAAAGTGTGAATTTTTAATGTACATGTGTGCATATTTGTCTCCGAAAGGGAATAAAAATACTTCCTCTTTATCGACAGCACGCAAGTCGCCTGCGTTTCGGAGAATAAAGTACAAATTTATGTAGTCGGAAAAAAGAAGTACTGGGTATTTCCTAGTTATGAAGTATATTAATCTCCAAAGTTATCATTTGGTTGAGTCTCTCAAAGTCCTAGGAAAAAATATATGAATTTTTCCCAGACATTGTGGAAGAAAATTCACAGTTAAAGTTGATGAATTTTTACCGTCCGCACTTTCCAGGTCCTGCTCTCAGCTTGCTATTACGCTTGCTCAGTCTACACTCCAGACAATGCTGTTTCAACCACAGTTATTGATGAGAGCGATGAGATTTCTTTCTCGAATCCTGCCGTGAACCTTCGTCTGCTTCAAAACCGTCTTTCGGCTGTCATGAACAAGCCGATCCCAATCGAACACGTCATCAAGTAAGCTTATAGACCAGACTTCTGATTCAATTTCTCCCATTTTCAGAGAGGCTGGACCATTAGTGGTACGATTCACAGAGCTGTTGAAATCTTTCTCACAGCTGAAAGTTTCTCCAGAAGCTTACGTCTGCATCAAAGCTATCACTTTGCTGTATCTCACTAATAATGGTGAATATTGGTTTTAGTCTGAACTTGCAGAGAATAAACTGCGTCGCGGTCTTGTTCGGCAGTAGAATATGAGTTCTAAAACCTGATCATGTGCTACAAATAATCAAAAAATGCGCAAGTAGTTTCTCGTCGGGAGCACTGGAAAATCGAGGCGGTTAGAGGCGCATTGAACCGTTTTTCAAAAGATGTTAAAAAAGAAACTAATTTAAGGAATAATTTTTTCAGGAAACTCTGTGCTCCCGGCCTCCGTTTTCAAGAAAGTCTCCGTTCTTCAGGATCATTTCGTGAAAACTCTGCAGATTCATCTGCTCCAACCAGAAGAACAAACTCGTCTTGGACAGATTCTGGAATGGTAAAGGATATTCAGAATAAAACTCACAAAAAGAGATGATTCCAGGCTTCCTGAGCTTCGCAACGCTTCTTCGGTCCTGCTCCACTCAAAAATGTTCTACGTTCCTTTCCTCCTCTGCAAGAACCCACGCAGCCTCGTCTTCGAAGAATAATCTCGTTTCTAGATTTGAAAGCTTTACTCCTGTCTTTCTGTCCTTCCTTATATTTTTTTAGCTCTTCGATGCATTTTAGGTCTCCTCTTAATAATGACTTCATATCAACTTTTCCAATTCTTCTAATCGTAAATGTGCAATAGCCCAGCCCTTTGCAGGGTCCTGTTGTCATAATATTTGTTAGATAGAGAATCTCGACAACTTTTCTGGAATTTGTGATTTTCTGAATCGCATGGGACGAGGTGAGCGCTGATGTTTAGGTTCCAAGATTTTAGGGCATTACTCGAAATTGTACTTTTTACCTGATTTGGTTGTATTTTGTAGCATATTACAAAAAGGAATTAATAATTTTTGTTCCATACTTCACTATGATACATATGGTCGCATTTAGAATGGCTCTAAGTGCTTCGGATGACGTTTCATTTCAGAATGCATTGAGATGTTTTTCATGCGATCGAAATATTCAACTCAAAGCGAGTTGGCTCAAACTTTCGTTTTGATCATTTCGAATCACCCCAATCGTCTTTCGATTTTCTAGAAACTTTACCTTCCCAACATTCTTTTCAACTAAATTTCTTTCATCCGATTGACTTCTAATTTCATTTTTATTCCTAATAACCAAAGCTTTTTTTCTTCTAACACGTACCTCTTAGTTGTAAAACTTTGCGCGTTTTCGATAAAGTTTTATTCCAAATGTTCCAAATATGAAAAAAAAAAGTTCAGGGCAAAATATGTGTGCAGAAGATAGGATTACTTGCAGCAAATACAGTTTATCACGTCGTTTGCGATATTTTCACGACACCCGCAAATGGAATTGCGTTTCATTATTTCTGATGTTACGACTTCCGGCTGAGATCGAGAGAATTTGAAGCTTCGCTACGGAGATTTGAGTATCATTTCAAAAAAAAAAGACATAAATAGGGATCCAAAAAGTTGACGATAGAATAAATGAAGAAAATAGTTCACATTTAATTCACAAGGATTATTCAGCCACATTAAAAAAAATCAAAAGTGCAAGTAAAAAATAGCTCCACTGTAAGTGCTTATTTTAAACTGGAAAAAAATCGATTCTGCGCAAAATGAATGAGTTTGGGAAGATATTGGCGATAAAACACTTTTTAGTTGAACCTTGAATTTACCATAGAAAAGTAACACAGATACTTAGATATTTTTCAACAAAGCAAAATATCTGCTTTGATTATTTAAGAGTGAGTGAAAGTCATAAGTTGTACTCTCGGGGATATCATGGGAGAGTGCGGCGCGGCTCGCGATGCGGCACTCAGACGGTCGGCCAGGAACGAAGAGAGCAACTGGAAGAACATGATTTCTTTAAAATTTCTTCTGATAGCTGACCATCCAAGCCTTGATGGTCTCTTTATGCTGTCGACCTGGTTTGACCCACTCGGAAACACTTGCAAGGACCGATTCTCCGAAGTATTCCCAGTGCTTGGCTCTGAAATATATGTTTCTGTTTCGAAGAGGATCTTGTGAGGAAGGTTATTTTAACACTTTGTTCGAGAACTTTCAATTGAGCCGCCTCAAGCTGCAAAATATCATGGTTTTCAAGCGAGAAGGTTCCGAATTCGTAGAAAATTTCAAAATTGTGCAAGATATGTTCTCTTTCGAACCGTTCAGGCAATTTTCTTGCTAAAACTTAGCAATTTTGGAGCCTGAAACCATCAGAATCTTCATTTCTAACAGCAATGCCTACACTGGCAAATTTTAAGGAAATTCTCAACCAAAGAGAAATAATTCATTTGTTCTATAAAAGTTTGCTTCGTACAAGTCATTTATCAAATTTCAAAATAGGAAGGTGTTTCAAACAGAAAGAAGAAAGAAATTTTCGGTTGAAAAGCTATAAATTTCCTGCGCAAACGTCTTTTTTTCCATTTTTACGACGTGCCATATTTGGTATTATTTATTGAGCGCTAGCTGGCGACGCCGCAGATGATTTACAGAAACCAATATTCTTTCTCTGAATTTATCTCTAGGCCTACGGTATGAAGAAAGAATCGGAACATTCAAAAAATGAGAGTTTTTCAAATTTCTCATTAAGTGTGTGATAATGATTTTCTCGTTCAGCAAAAAATAAAATAAAAAGTTTGATTTCGAGTTTCTGTTTTTTGAAATGAAAAGAAGCTCGATGAACATGAAAATCACTCCAGCTCAGCTGAAAAAAATTCAAATTGAATGAGTTTGAATATTGCAAGACCTAAAAATAACTTACGTGACACTGAAACCAACATGACCTCGGCCAATGACGTCCAGCCAGGGTTTGAGACCGGACTCCAGGTCCGACAAGTTGTCGATGCACGACTGAAATGATGAAAATTTCTCAAAAAAAATAGAAAAATCAGAAGTTTGATCTTCAAGGGTCTCTTTGTAATCCATAAGTTGTTGAAGTGAGAATTTAAAAAGTTTATTTTTAAAATCTTAAGTTTTAAAATTTCGATTAATCATTATTTCAGAAGTGAAAGGAATGCTTTCAAGTTCAAAGACCATGAACTATATTAAACGACTGAAACAGCCAGTTTACTTTGCAGAAGCGATTTTTCAAAATACTTCTACAGAATCGTTCCAAACTCAAAACTGAACTTTCATTGAGAAAATGAAACGTTTCCAATTTTCTTCTACATAAATGCACTCACCTGAATAAGCTCGACAAAATGTTTGGCGTGTCGTTGTTCTCCAGAAGGATCGTCGACGAAAAATCGGCCCCCGGCATGAGCTCCCATTCCTTGAAGTACTGATTTTCCAAACGACTGCCGTGGGACTCGGTTCCAGGACTTTCTGGAATTGCAATTGATGATAACACTGTACTAATAGTTCTCCTACTTAAGAAGATTCTGGCGTTCAGAGTTGAGAATCGGGAGACGAACTACCGGAGATGGAGAAGCTGAACGGCATCTTCGAAGCGAACGTGGTGGAGCCAATCTTTGAGAAGATGACGAGACGCTCATCTGAACGTTATTTCATTTCCAAAATTCAAAATTTAAAACAGTGGAGTTAAAAACATCTATTCCAATAGAATATTGAATTATCATCAGGTATTCAAAAACTGTTTGGAAACATTGTTTCACTTCGTTTAGATGTATAATCGTAAGGTTGAGGTTTTCGTGTTTTTTGGAGTGAAAGTTTCAGATAACTCCGAAAGTAATTCCATAAAAAGTGAGATAACTTTTTCATGAAAAGAAAAGCAGAAAGTTTGTTTCGAGAAGATTTTCGTCAATCAGTTTTTTTATTCTCTCTTCTTGTGAAATGATGACCGCACGTGAATGGCTCAAATAGTGAAAATTTCAATTAGTTTATTTGGGACAGCCGATCTTAAGCTACTCGCCCCACAGGAGAAAAGGTAAGAATGGTGTATTGATAGGAATGTTTTGAGCCTTCTGAAGCGTCAAGATCTTGATAATAAACGTTTGACTTCAGAAAAAAAGGATTCGAAAACTTTTCAGAGGTTTTCTGGCTGAGAAATTCGCAATAAATATCATTTTTGAGTTAGGACACTTCAAAAGACAGCGCTTTTTTGTCATAATTTACATAGCTCCCTAACTCGGAAACAAGATCTATTGCGAGGAACTTTTTTCTTGTTCTGGCATCAGGGATCCTGAAGTGAACTTCAGCAAAGTTTCAGCAAAAAGTTCAACCGGGGGTAAAAAAAGTTCCCTGGTGAAGGTTTTCGTGAATTTCGATATTTTGATAAAGACGAAAATTGGAAAGGATTTGCGAGAAAGTAGAACTTTAGAAAATTTCCAGAATAATACGACGCGAAAAGTATAAATCATTTGTGAAATCGAGAAGTGGCCAAAATTTGAGAAGAAGAGAGGCGATTCTGTCTGAAATTTCGAAATGACACGTCGAAAACCCTTTTGGACATGTTTTGTGTGTTTGTGTTTTTTTTCCTGAAATGCATAGCTTTGTGTAGAAATGCGTGCCAACGGTTTTCCAACATCACACTTGATATTCAAACAATCTCGAATTTCTATTACATGCCCTTAGTAGAATGACAAAGTGGGACTATTTTTATAAGTCATAAGATCTATTGAGAGGAGACAGAAATTTTGGAAAAAAAAGGAGAAACGACGAGGAAGAGCTCGGAAAGAAGTTCCAAGCTCTTGGAAAACTTTTTCCTCACTCTCACAGGGATTTAAACCTTCCACTTTGAGGACCTGGGTAAAAACATCATAAACACAACGGCCAAAGAATGTTCTGCTGCAAGTTAAATAACAAAAATAGCTTGTTCTTCGGAGCGAATTTCAATTTGAGAACTTTTTGGAAACTTCCTAAGGAGAGCTTTAAAGTGAATGCAAACACTTCGAAGTGGGAAATTGAAGAAGCGCAAGCTTCTGCGGTTGACTGGCAACCAAGAAATTCGGCTCATCACTCATCTTATTAGATCTACGCTCCAATTTTTGGTCTTTGGTTTGAAATTATGACTTGCGCACTCATTTTTAATATATCTTTCAATTCACGTCAGCGTTTTTTTTGATGCGAAACAAATAAATTTTCAAATAAAATGGGAGAAAAAGAGAATAAATCTGAAAGCAGGTACTTATTAGATGTGGATTCTGGGAAGAAATTCGTCATATGATGCGACTTTCAATTAAAACTATTCGTTTTTTTCGAATTATAATCGAATTAATAAACGTCATTTCCTCTCCTGGGAGGCGCGTGATTATCAGTGGTCTAAGCAAAAACGTAGCTAAATCAAAACTGAAGCTGAAAAATTAAATGTTTCTGGAATTTCTTTGTTCGCTCCAAAGATGCAGCACCTTTTCAGGAGATAATGAATAATAAATCGTAGAAAATCTCGGTTCTGCGTTCCGAAAGGACTTACAAAACTTTTATCACTTTTGCTGATGATAGACTTACTTTGAAAAGTCTATCGTTCTGTTATTTTTTGGCTTACACTAATGAAACACGGTAAGAAGGATTTAAAAAGATAAATACCCAGAAAAAAAATTTTAAACCTAAATAATGAAAGGAAATTTGTGGAAAGTTAGTCATTCCGACAAGTATTTGAATCAGTAAAGAGCTTTAATCGGATTAAAGTGGTTTTTCAGCTTCTGGGAGGTTCCCATTTATAAATTATCAGTGTAAATAAAATGACTGAGCCCGAAAAAGCGGTTTGAAAAAGTTGAAAACAGTTTTATGTGAAATTATTTAGGCTTTCCATTTTTGACTTAAAAAAGCAGGGGGATTACAAAGAAGGATAGGAAACCTTCAGAAAAGTAACTACCTCAAGGTTAGGAACATTCTAAACTCTTTTCAAAATTTTTGGTACGATTTTTTTGAATGCAATTCCTTTCTGAATAAAATTAAAAAAAGAAAGTTTTACTTTGATAACTTGGAATAATATTTTAAGAAACATTTTCAATTTCTTCCCAAAAAGTATGATAAAAAAATCGAAAAAAATGTGACTTAGGTTTCCAAAAAAATCTTCCTCAGACGTCACAAATAAATAATTCAAAGATTTCAAGACAACCTGAAATTTTTTTAGGAGGAAGAGTACTTGAAATGGTTTCCTCTTAGAAAATTTCGTCGAATTGTCATCTTGAAACAAGAAACTTCTTAATGAATAATCGGATCTTCAACCGCTTCTGACCTCGAAAAAAGATTGAAGTAGTTTTCAAAAAAGCGATCCTAGAGGTCATTTTACTCAAACTCCAGGTTCTTCTGAGATTCGACAGAGAAAACATTGAAGTAACTAGATAAAGTTTTTTAAGTTAAAGTTAAATATTTTTCTTCATTTGCTAAGAAGCTTTTTTTGGAAAAACTCAGCCGCTAGCAAAAAATAAGGATTTGATACTGTTTTGACTACCAGGATCTTGTATAACGAGGTCCAGAAATTTTTTTCTATCCAAATTTTCACTAAAATCTGAAACATTTGAATGGTAAATGTGATAAGAAAAACTTTCAAACTGGAGACCAGTGACGTCGAAAAATGTTTGCGCTTCAATGATTGAATGTGTTTTTTTTTTACTTAAAAATGTTTCTCTTCATCAAGGAGACTGTAAAAAAAAATTCCAAGCTTTGAGGTTCAAATTTTCAAAAATCACGGAATTGAACGAAACATGAGGTAAATGGCGGTTGCTAAAAAAAAATTTCAGAGGATGCCTGGGACGCTCTGAAAACGGAACGCCTTTTTAGGTTCGAAATTTTCCCCATTTGCCCAAGTACCTCTGCCCTTGATAGCGCAGAAATCCAACTTTCCCTTCGAAAAAAAAAAGCAAAAAAGGCAAAATTATACGAGGAAGTTCATCCTATCCAACCTAAATGTTAATGAAGGTGTCCATGTTATGAAACAGGAAAGTGTCAAAGCTCAGCTCGACACTGAAAACTGGGGGAAACTTGTATGAATTTGGGAGAGCAAAGCTTTTGTCTCTACGAAAGAAACAGTTCTATTTTCGTTGGAAGTTCTGATGAGTTGTAATTTTTTTTTGACAATATCCATGCGTTTTGAATTGATCTTAAACTTTCAAAATTTTTTGAAATTTTTCTGAAGATGTTCCAATTTGAAATTCAAAAAGGATTTCAGGAAAAATTTTTGAAAAAAACCATCTCAAAAATTTAAAAAATAAGAAAAATGTATAAATTAATTTCAAAACAGTAACTCTCGTTCAAATATTTCCAAAAAAACATTAGAAATTGTCAAATTTAGGGACGTGACAGCAAGTAAAAAAAGCTCGATACTCTTTTTAAACTTGAAACAGGAACTTCCGTTAGAAATTTCGAAGCCTTCACTCCCAATTCACGAACAATTCACCTTGCTTAAAAAATTATTTCCCTAGGAATTCAAGCTTTTGAACACTGACTTTTTTTCATACCCTTCACGACTGAAATACCGTTGAAAAAAATAAGAAATTTTTGAAAGTTTTTTTCCTTTTACTTCATCTTTTTTTATCCTGAACATCGTTCAATTCGGAACTTTCGAATTCTAAAAAGAAAAAAAATTTAGAAAAATTTACCTAAAAATAAAAGACGAAATTACCTTGAAGTCGGCTCTTTGTCTAGGTGAGTGCGACATTGCAGTAGGTAGGAATTGAGTCAGACTAGTCAAACCTCTCAAATGTTGCCCGGTCAACGTGAATAATTCAAAGCGGGCGGCTATAATTTACGAAAAAAAGCTTTAAAAAAATTCTGTTTTCCTAAGTTATGTCTTCCTCCTATTTTTGGTGAATATTTTTAGAAGATAGAAAGAAGATACTGTGAATATAAGGAGAAATGTTCTGACCTCGTCATGTTGCAATAAATCGAGTTGCATGCTAGAAGATGACGTCGTGGCGGCCTGAAAGTACACATAATTTATAATGATTGAAAACGAATTGGTGGCCAAAAAAATGTCGGAGTGATTGACAACGAACCGAAGAACAAAAAAATTTCAAATAAAGGCATAGGAAAATAGTTGAATTTTCTGAATGAAAAAAATTCTTTTTACGTGAAAGTTTCACGGAAATCAACTTCAAATTTTGTGTTCAGTTCGACTTTTGTCTATGAAATTATTTTTTCAAGTCCTGATGTAATTAAACTTCACTTGAGTTATAGTTTAAAGAGACGATAAAATTTTATCAAACACAAATCATAATTCAAAATAAAGCTTAACGGCAAAAAAATCACCAAAAAATCAGGATAGTCAATCGTTTCACTATAGGTTTTAATTTATTTCTGGGATTCACAAAAAAAGATTTTCTCAAAGTCGAAAAAAACCGTCTCAAATTGTGAAAACAGAACATTTGAAGTTTCAATTTCATTTCATAAACTGGAAATTTGATCTCAAATATTCTATGATAAATCGAAAAGTCCCCGCCGAAGATTTGAAAGCAGACGGTGAAATCTTCTCCTTTGTAAGCCCAAATTTTTGCCACATTTTCTTTGAAGATGTTCAGAAATTTTCAAGAGGAAAGTGCAAATAGACTGGTGGGAGTCATTCCTCGCGACCCATTGGCAAAAGCTGAGCCCGCGGCTAAGACGCACCAAAAAAGGAGCTCTCGATTGGCCGTGGCTCGAGGACATCTCAGGAACCAATCGAGTACGCGACTCGACTCCGCGGAAAACAATGCTCGAGCACTTCTTGTAACCCCACTTCGTTTTCGTCATTCCAAATGAGACGTCGAAATTTCCGTAATTTGAGTAGGTTGGCCGGTTATGAATAAGCGGTATTGTTGGAATTTGAATTTTTAAGAAAATGATAAAATAGATAGATCCAGATGGTGTTTTTCAATTGCAAAAATGCCTCAAACTACTGTAAGCCAACTTATTTACAGAGAAAGTCTTTGGAGATTGGTCAGACTTTTCTTAATGTAACAGATAGACTTCTTGAAAACCTCAACCTAACCTTCCAATCAACGAGGAACTTAGTCTCAAAGTCTCTATATGGCAAATTTTTAAGGATTCTGAAGTTTCATGTAGTAATAAATGAAAGAGTAAACATCTTTTTCTCACTTTGTTTTTTGATTCAAACCAAAAACTCCAAGTTGGTGTAATTCGAGAAGCTGGCTCCTTGCGAGTGCTTTGTACCCGATCAAAAATGAAACCTTTTTGAGCAAAAAATTCGATCTATTTGTTGGGAGCTTTGTGGGTTTTTTTTTAGCGCTGAGAACCAGACAAATAACAGCAAGGAAAAGGAAATAATTATTGTCAGTGTAAAAGTGTAAAATCTTGAAGAGCTGAGTGAAGGCTCGATAAAATAAGACTATTAAATGTTTCAAAAATTTTGGGAGTTCTCGGTTTGAAGCTCACAATTTGTCAATATGTTTTGGTTTTCGGTGACAAAAACAAACTTTCTGGTCTCTTCTGATTGCAACTCGCAAAAAAATTTCATGAACTTTTGCTTTCTACCCGATTCTAAAGTCTCTCTTGCCCTTTTTTGGTGTCCAACTAAGGTTAAGCGCCATTTCTTGCCTCAAACGCAAAATGTCAAACATTTCCCGCAATCTTAAATGAGAAGGTCTCAAAATAACGTTTTTCTGCGAAATTTCGACAATTTATCAATCAGCCAACAAAAACACTTTTTATCAGATAAGGAAAAGTTTTTTCCATCTCAAAAACGAGATCTTTGGGTATTTATGACATTTCAGCAGCAAAAGCTAGCGCATATCTAGAAGTACATCTGAATGTTGCAAAGAGAAGTTCTTCTAGAGCTTCAGAATGAGAATAATCTTAGAATAAATTTTGGGTCTGCATATTCAGAGGTGGGGGCGGATAAGTCTTTGGATGAAGACTAATAATTCGCTAGTCAAACCGACAGCCCAACTCGAACACTTGCCTTGAACATTTTTTGAGAGAATATCCTTTTTGATACCAATACGGGCAACATCCGAAGCAAACGTGTCGTGACCAACAAATATTCGGAAAACGATGCGTTTTATCTCCCTTGGTGAATTTTTAACGAGCTTATAATGAACGAGGAGCAACTCATCACTCAGATTTACAAAATGTTATCATAAAAAAATGTTACCGTTCACTTAATTTCTTGTGGATTTAGCGAAAAAAATATTTTTCACAGTTTCAAACAAACAAGAAAAACTCCGAGATGTTTGCAGATCACAGGTTTGAGAACTCCTTTTTGAAACAGAATGAAGAAAAATCTGAAAAAAATCGTTTTTTTCAAGTAGCATCCTTTTTAAATTACAACCCAGAGATATGAGTTCTAATCGAAACGATGCCCGTAAAACTTACTCCAAACTAAATAAACTCAAAAAAATTTAAAAATAAAGTTGTTTAGTTCTGGTTGAGAAGAAAGAAAAAAATGCTTCCTTCCCATATTGAAGTTTCGTTTCGTTGAAAAAAAGGGAATTTTGAAAATTGCATTTTCTGTCGAATTCAAAAAAATTATCAGGTGCGTTTTTTTAATATTTTTTTCTTCCGAGAAAAATGTCAATGAAAAATGAATAAAGTTTAAAAAAACCTTGTCGGAAACTTCCTAGCAAGCAAAAAAAGTGTTTTTTTCACAAGCGTAAAAAAATTTCTTTCAACTAAAAAAGAACTTCTAATTTGAAAAAAAGACGAGATTATGTCGTGGAAACTTTGGAAGAATTTATGGTTATTTTCCATTTTCAGACGAAGGTCCTGTGTTGCAGAAAATATCATTCAGAAAATGGATTTTGGAACCTGGGAATTAAACCATTACCCTTCCAATTGCCCTACGGAACCAAGAAAAACCTAACTAACTACAAAAAAGGCGGGTGCAAAGGCTTACAGGCTCTCCTTTTGAGAAAAGGGAAAGGGGCTCAACAATTTAATTGAAGCAGTCGTTATCGTCCCTTTCCTTTCTCCTCAAAACCATTCAAACGAAAAAAGAACAAGAAAAGGATTTGTTGGAGTCTGCTGAATAATGAAAGAAAAGGGCATTCTTCTTTTGATTTCAGTTCGTTTATGCTCGGTTTGTGGCTGTTTTGAGATTGGATTTGAAAATTGGATTTTCTTCCCTGGTGATAAAATTCCAAAGGTTCAAAGCGAAGAAATAATAGTAATTTTTGAAGTAATTTTCGAAACAATCTAAGCGAGTTTTATGCGAGTTTTTGAAACCGCAATTTCGGACTTCGAAATTTAAATTCAGAGTTTGAATTATTGCTAAAGATCCTAATTTCAGAGTTTTGGAAGAAACTCAATAAAAACGAACCTGTCAAGTTATCGCGTATCGCCGCATATGGCGTTTCAAAAAGCTACCATTCAATAATTGAAGTTTTCAAGATTATACAAATACCTTGACACGAATCAAAAAGTTTTTTTATGCTTAGATTCAAAAAAATTGTTTTTCTCTCTAAAAATCCTGAAGTTTATCAAAAAATCCCCCACTTATGACAACCTCAGAAAAAAAGAATTTTCGTCAAAAGGACATTATTCAGAAAAATCGAATAATTTCTGAAAAATCTAATGATTAAGACTAAATAAACCAACAACAAAAAAACAACACTTAATTTTTTCCCGAATCCAAAAAAAGAATTTTATTGCAAGACGACCCAAAGTGACGTGCTTTGGGCGCCGTACTTAGTTAACTCAATTCACGAAACTCGCCCATCCCATTCATTCAAAAAAATTGCACGTTTTCTGTGCCTCTCACACTTCCTCATTTCAACGGTTCTTTTTTGTATTGGACAAAAAACGATTGGAAAAGAGATGAACTCGGAAAACTGCAGAAAATTCACTCAGAAACAGTAGAAGAAGCCTTTCGCTCAAGTTGCCTTCAGACCAACTTTCTCGTAACAAAAAAAAACAAAGCCGTTTCAGTTTCTTTACTTTAATCTTCTTTTCTTTGGCACTTAGACTAATACGCTTCTCTATTCCATTGGTTTTCTTGATATCCGATTTGCATCGAAATGAAATGTGATGGCCGCATTTGGAATGAGTCAATTGAAAGGTTTAAGTCTGGCTTTTTTTTAAAAAGGGACTTTAAGAATAGGATTTTTGTTTTGTTCGATATATTATAATTGAGAAATTCAATTTTTGAAACATGATTTTCCCAATTTTTTTGCTCTATTTTTTTCACAGCATGAAATACTGTGTTCTAACTAGAATAACAGCCAAATTTTTAATTTAGCCTTTCCCTTTATAACTGTTGATGTCTCAGCTTGCAAGTTGTTTCTAGTCGGGAGCAGCACAAAAAGCAACCGCTTTGCAGTTTACTTTTTCATGTTCCTTTACAGTTTCGGGTTATTGGTTCATAACCTGTAAGCCGTGATAAATCGGAAAATTGAAATTTACAACTTGATAAATAAGTCTCAATTTTTTTCTAAGGAGAAATGAGTCATTAAAAAAATTCGAAAATTGATTTTACTTTTTTTTATGTATCGGATTTTCAATGCACTTTTTTTACTGTAATTATTTGGAATTCTGAAAAAGGACAGAAAAAGAAGCTTTTTCAGGTACTTGACGACATTTTGCCTCACGAAGCTCGTAAATAACCAAGATCATAAATTCGGCTTCATTTCGGCATGCGTCTGACACCAAAAAAAAAGGGATGGCCCCAAAAAGGTCATAAATGCACTATATGTCACGAGGCAACCAATTGCAAGTCATTTCAGGCGGCCAAAAGGGCTTGTTTCCTTACTTAGAGAAGGGGCGTTAGTTTCTTGTTTTCGAGGCAGGCAACCATTTCTCTCTCGAAATGCATGGAAAGCCAGTCCGACGACGATTCTCCTCGCTTTTGTTTGTCTCGTAGTGGATTTTCTTCATTGTAATGAATGGAAGTTCGCTACAGAGTCAAAACACAATACTTTTTACAACTCTTGGGAAAAAAGGAGAAAAATTGATGAAAAGCAGGAAAATTGAACTTATGCTGGTTTTCGAATTGAAAAAAAGAATTTTGAAGATGATGGCTAAAGTTCAAAAAAAAGGCTTCATCTTCTAGGCTGAAAGTTGAACATAGTCAGTTTTTCCCGACTTGAAAGGTCATATACTTTGATCGGCAAAAATGAATGCGTGTGCGACGTGGTTCATGCCGGGAAACTTGAATTCAAACGCGAGACATCTTTTTTCTTTTTTTTCACAGTTTTTCGATGTTTTGTGGTTTGCTATGGCTTTGAAAAAATTTGGATAAACGAATAAAGTGTAAAAATACAAAAGGATATAATAAAAGATTTTTTTGACTTTTCTATATGATTAAATTTAACCTCGGGCTGCCCGCCAAGAGCCGCGTCAGACATACAATGCTTCATCCTTGTCAATCTGCCCATCTTGCCTTTCAAGTTGAGGAAAAATTGATTTTAATCACTTTGATATTCTTTAGGAACGGGTTTGGTATTTTTCAAACTTGAATATCATGAAGGTTTTTATTTTGATAGACAAGATTTCAGGCTCTATTGGCCGAAAGTCAAGTTTTTTTCATAGATCAAAAAAATTCCAGTCATCTGAAAAAAACTTCTTCGAACGAGTTTGATGGTCTTACTTTCTAAAAATGACTTTTCATATGGTACTTGAGAAAAATTTTTTTGATCAAAAAAACTTTTTTTAATAAAAACTTATTAAGTGTTCAAATTTGAGAAGACAGTATCGCAGTTTTTCAAAATTTTCGCTCTTCCGGAGAAAATTCTTCTCTTCTCTTCTCTCAAAAAAAAACCGAGATACTTGAACTCCACGACTTTACGGCGTAAGAATCT